TTACCTTTTCATATTACTTTTACCCCGTGATTTGTAGGTGAGTCATATCAGGCTATTTTATTTCATTTTATTTTATAACAGTCGTTAAACAGATGACCTGATTTCGAGCTTAGGACTAGCAATGTTCACGTCCATAGCATTGTAATTTAGAGCCCAACCAGAAGACAAGAGAACTCCAGAATTAAGTATTAGGATAAATTTTTGCCTTTGTGGAGGATTTTGTGATGGAACTAGCCCATATTTCCGTTAAAACCGCAAAATCCTCCCATGGTTAGTATGACGGCAAGGGAACTCTAACCCATGATCCGCTACCACTGAGGATATTTTACATCAACACTGTGCTCTATGCTAGCCGGATGCGGAATTCGTATCAACCAACCATCGCTGGGATTCGAACCCGGGTTATATCATTGGGTGGCATACACTCTATCCCTGAGCCACCACGGCTCCATATCAGGCTATTATAATAAGATATTTCATATATTATTATATCTTATTTCATATGTTTTATCAGCTTTGCAAATAAATCCGTCATTTCAGGGCAGAGTGGTGATGCGAGAGAATTGAATATAATCATGTGTAGTTAAATCATAGGCTTTCAAACTGAAGAAGGTAAATAATATGATTCACATATATAAAGAGCACAACACATTTTGGAATGTTTTATGTATACATAAATGTGTAACTTTCACTTTTTTAATTAAGACAAATATAACGAATAAAACCTCTCTGTTGTCCTGATTCACTAACAATTAATTCAAAAAACCCTTGTATTGAATTTATAAATAAAGAAAGATACTTGTTTGCATCTTTTATACATTTCATTTCAATGAAATATATATTTCTCTCACCCGAAACTTCTCTATCTGTATGCTTCCAATATTCTTACCTTTTCACATGTGATTTATAGGTCAGTCATATCAAGCCATTATAATATGATATTTCATATCTAATGCATGTAATAAGAAATCCTTTATTCTTCTTGACACAGACAATCACACATACCCAATATGACGCCTCCTTTAATTTATCCCTTATATTCAATATTTCATCGACGTATCACGAAGCGTATGATTCAAAAAATAAAGTGAAATAAGCAAGTTGATGATATTTTGGATAAAGTTGAAAAACGAAAATGCGATAAAAGAAAAAATATATATATTCCCTCCAAGTTTTATCAGCTTTACAAATAGATCCGTCATTTCATGGCAGAGTGGTGATGCGAAAGAATTGAGCTGGATTTCGAAATTTTTATCTTTTTTTTCTTTTCTTTCGAAAGTCACTTCCCTTCAATTCTGTACTTTCTTTCCTTCAAGCTTGAGTCCTTGATTTATCACTCTAAAATCATTTTTCTTTCGAACAATTTTTATCGTTTCATTTCTTTGAAACGAGACTAAAAAAATCCATAGATTCTTTGTAATCATATATTGCTATTTTCTACATCATTTGTCCTAAAAGTGTTGAACGATATTACTATGTTGTCATATACCAGCAAGATTGTATAGGAAGCGTTATGAAATTTTCGATTTGTTTTGAAATTGTGTAAAATGTGTATTATTAGAAAAAGAGAACAAAAATTAATCTGTCATCCCAGTTTTCTCGTTAGTATAAGCTCTAAAGTTCATTCTAAAAAGCATATCCTATACATCAACCGTATTTAATATTATTTTTATCATTAATTATCTAAGGAATACATTAAAAGTTTGACGCTTGCAGATTAACTTGAAGTGTTAAACATTTTTAACATGAAGCAGGTTTGCTTGTTGTATTTTTATATTTAACTTTATATTTTCACCTTAAAAGAACTTTTATTATTATTTTAGAAATCATGTGCATCTTTAACAGATTCTACTTACCAAAGTTACTTACCAAAATGAAGCTCTTTTGAAGTCAATGAAACTTTGAAATTTGAACAAATGAAGTCTATGAAATCAGACATAAAACCAAAACTTTATGACTAATGTAAAGTTTGCCGCAAATGGGTGATCCTGATAGTTGAACTAAAAGAGTGTTTTAAATGAGAGACCCTTGAAAGTCAGTTTTACTTTGTATGTACTTAGGAATACTCAAAGATATATGAATAATCAAAAATAAAGTTTCATTTCAAAGTTTCGTCAAAAATTAATCAACCTATTTATGTAAGTAAAAATATAAAATTTCTTTACTTGAAATTAAAATTTAAAGATTTCAGCATTTTTTTTAAAAAAAAGTAATAAAAATTTTCGAATGATTTAAATTCTAAGAATACGATAATGGAAAAAATTCATAGATATATGCAAATTTTAGTTTTGAAAAATCTTTTAATTCGGAAGTGCTCTTCGACCGGTAAATTTGAAATTTACAATTTTGACATTTGAGCAGTTAAAATTTGTAATTTAAAGTAATGTAAAATATTTTATGCCTCCCATTTTAAACTAAATAAGAAATTAATAAAAAGTATTAAAAAAAATTTCTAAGTTTACTCAGCGAGTAAATATTGCACAGATATGTTACGAAAAGGATTTTTTATCTAATGAAAATAAAGTACAAATTTATGGAAATGATTTATCAAATAAAAAAAATTTTAAATTAATGATTATTAAGAATAAATATTTATCACTTTTAAGATGAGTTCCACAAATCGTTTCATTGCAGTTTAATGTGAAAAAGTCTAATCACTAGCATTCTGGGTTATACACTTTTTATCTTGCACTCAGAATTTTTTTTATTTTTTTTAGTGAATCAAGCTGCAGCTCTGGAGCAATGCACATGAACATAAGTATTCACTCATACGCAAAAGTTCATTAAATTTTTTAGTGTTAATTTCTCCTACAATATCAAAAATATCTCATGCAGAAAGAACTGCCAATGGTTTTATTCCGCAATGACATTTTGATGCAGTAGTCTGCGTTGAATTAAAAATATAGATTTCAGTTTCAAATTTATCTGGTACATCTTTTATTCAAAAGAAAAATCACCTATGAAGCAAGATATTTTCTGACAACTTCAGAAGTAACTTATTGGAAATTCAAAAGATTAAGAGAAAATGAATATCTCTAAAGAGGAACATGAATCTACGATCATGCTGAAACAGCCTTTTTTCCCTTGTTACTCGTCCCCACGTCTCTATCAAAATCCTTTCCGGAAAGCGGATATCCGGCCATTCCATCAAACTAAAGAAACGAAAGAAGACAACTCCTGTCACGGTATTCTTATTTTGAAGTGACCCTATCTATATCTTGTTAAGAAAATACACCTTTCATTCTTGGAAAAAGGAGGTTATAAAAGAAGATATTGTACATTATTCTTGGTAAAAAAGTCATGAAAATAAAACTCTCACGAAAAATTATCATGACACATTAAAATTTAATTTGTAAAATCAAAATAAAATAACATTTATTTTTATTTAAAGCTTTTAAATAAGAAAATTACGTTATAAAATGTCTTGTATAAAACTACATTTTATTGGGGCTTTTTTTCTTTGCATTTTTAAACTTATAAAAGCTATTAGAATATTTTGAATTTTAAATACGATATTTTAATTTGTAATTGTGGTAAAAATTTCAATCTCTCAAACAAAATCAAAATAAAATAAAGGCATAATTTATTCTTATGAAAAGCTATCAAAAATGAAAGAAAATTGCTTTAAACGATGTCATAATTGTGATACCACACTATATTGCATTGTCCTTTTAATTACTTTCATGAACTGATAAAAACAATTAGAACATTTATAATTCTAAATTATATATAAACTTGTAGTTCTTTTAGTTTCTGTATATTGTGAGTAGTGTATTATACTCACACTAAGTGAGCATTGTATTGTATACACAAAGCAAGTATTGTACTGTAGTGTGTGTACAATATATATATATATATATANTATCTTTATATATATATATATAAACTTTACACCCGGAAATAACACGTATACCAGAAATAGAGTACAAAACTTTACCCAATCATTTTGAATCGAACTTGAAAAAAGGGGTTATTAGTCAGATTTTTAAATATTTAATAAGATAAGAAATCAAAAGATGCATTTAAAGGAAATGAACACAAATTTATAATTTTGAAGTAAAGCGAGGCAACGAAATTTTTAAGTGAACTTTAAATCCTATTTTTTTGGCTGTGGTAAGATTTTGTTTTCTTTTTGTGATTCACCATATTTTGCTATTTTAGAATGAGTAATTTTCAAATAAAAAAATATATTAAATTTCAAAACATAATTATAATGTAGTTTTGAAGCTTTCAAAATACATCTCTTTTCACGTTTAATTCCATAACAGCTTTGTTATTCACTGCTATAAACAAACAATATAAGCTTTGTAAACAATATTTCAATTATACCTTCGAGTCAAAACTTGTTTAATAATATTTATGTAAATCTTCAGTAATTAAAATGACTATATTCACGTTAAAATCATAAGATTTAATTTGCTTTATAATATTCGAAACAACATGCGTGGAATTTAATTATTAAATATACAAAGCATATATTCATGTTTCATTCAGCTCCATTTTTCACTTTTTTATCTCTATAATATTAATCCAATATGTAATAGAATGCATATTTTATTTTAAAAACATCTTTTTGGGGGCAGTTAATTAAATACTACGACAAACATATTAATCATAGCTATCATAACTCCAAGCATTAAACTCATTTAAAATTATTCGATAATAGCTATAGTAAAGCAAACTCTGCATACTAAAATAATTTATTAATAAATAAACATGAGAAACATATTTAATATAAAAAGATAACATATTATTGTGTTAACATATTATTGTGTTTTTTGCAAAATGAAATTGATATCAAACACTCTTTAAAGCAGTTCCATTTAATGAAATTAAAATGAAAAAAAACAAATCAACTGCTACATCAAAAAAATTACACATATCAAATAACAAAGGTTATTATAATCTATGCAAATAAAGTTTTTGCTTAATTTAAACCATTCTAAATTACAATGAATTGAATTAACTTAGCTCATTCCTCATTCTAGATAAAGAGACAGTCATTGTTTAAGTTCTTGCAAAAGTTCTTCAATGATTATTTCTAATTCTGTTTTATGTATCAAATTTGCGTGTTCGTTTAATATTTGTTCGGACATAAAACCCCTGAAGCATATTGGACACATATGCGAAAAATTGAGATTGTGTTTTAAAGAGATGTGCCTCTCCAAATGGGAGGATACCCTAAAAGCATCCTTACAATCAGAGCATTTAAATGGTTTCTCATTTTGTGGAATTTTTACATTGCTAAAAATATTGCTACTGATATTGTCGTTGCTAGTACGAGTATGCACGCATAGATAACCTCGTCTTTCTTCAATCTCACCTTCTATTTGGCATTTGATTTTTTGTGATACTTTTCTGTTATTTTTAAATCTCGATATTTGATTCTTTTTTATTCCAGGAGAAAGTTCAGAGTTATTAACAAGTTCTGATTTTCGTTGAGAAGGAATTCGTGTTGGAATGTCTTCAAAGCAATCATTTGAAAGTTTCGTATTTGGGGACACATCCAAAGTGCTCAAAGACTTAAAGAATTTTTGCCGTGTATTGTACCTGTGCCCATTGAATGATTCAGCATCTAAACAGAATAAAATGTTTTCTTACTGTCATGAATAAATAATATTTGTATATAAAAAAACACTAGCCTTTTCTTTAATTGAATTGAATTCAACATTGATTATTACGTATTAGCATGTGATTCCCTCTGCAAAAAAATAAACAACAGTTTTTCTTGTCACTAAAACTGGTCTGTTTAAGACAAAAATATTTCTTTAAAGAACAATCATCTATTCCATAGTTTAGAAAATTTCAGACTACACCTTAGAATTAGTTACCAAACTTTTTTTAATAAAACTATTTCGAGCTACATATTTTAATGGTTACAAAAATAACAACAATAATGATTTTGTCTTTTGAAATATTATCAAAGATATCTCAATGGGAGCAACTAGACGCAATGCGACTTTCAGGTTCCGACTAGCATAATTAAAGCTGAATTTTTACTATCTAAGACTATATTTTTACTGATGCATTTTTCATCATTTATGTAAAAGAGGTATCATTTAAATGTTTCAAAATACTGAAGTAAATAAATTTTAGGAACAGTCAAATAATGATTTAAAAGCAGTTCATAATGTTTCTTTTATCCTTCCGTAGCATTTATAAGAAGTATACAGTAAGAATGTTCCCAAATACTGTGATTTAGGTAACGAAACTTTTATAATTATAAGGAAATATTTCAAATATGCTTTATAAAAAATGGCTAATACTGAACAAATCCATACGTTATAATTTTTTCCAGGAAATACTTTAATATTTTTCATTTCGATCTTAGATATATGTTATTAATAAAAAAAAAGAATTTTATTCAAACTCCTAATATTAGACTAATAGTATAATAATGACATAGTGTATACAATAATATTATAATAATCACATTTTTTAAAATCTACTAAAACCACGTGAATATCTATAAATAAGACAACTGTTATACTAAAATTACTTTTTCGCAGTTCATTTTTATACATTCACAATTCGATAAAATAACCACTAATAAACAAAAAATATTTATCTCTCTGTTATTGTTTCCTAAGTATTTAAAAACAACATTTGCTTTCTGAAACTTTGAAAGATATTTAATTGCTTAAAAACTCACTACTAATTAATTACTTATTTAAAAACTTACTAATTCGCTACCTAGTTGAAAAAAATGTACATCTATTAAATTTTAAAACTAGCTATTTTAAAAAAAGGTAAAGAAATTTTTATTTGACAGAAATTATTACAAACCTTAAAATGAACATTCATACATAATTGAACTGATTGGCTGAAATGAATTCTATCCTTAAACTAAACATTCTTCATATAATTGGACTGATTGGCTGAAATGATTACTAACCTTAACCTAAACATTCATCAAATAGTTGGACCGTATGTTCCAAGGCTAAAGTCTCAATACTTTAAAACTGTCAACACGATAAAAAATCTAGAGTTTTACATTATACAGTAATGGTGAATATTACTGTAAAAATTATAATTCATCAAATTTTTGTCCCTTAACATGTTTCGGTAAAAATGGATTTTTCCGTTATTTGATTCGGAATTTTAAACAATATGTTTGATTTAATTTTATAGGTTTAATTCTTCATGGAAACTTGAGTAAATTATAATTAATTTCACTATACCTGTAGGCTTGTTTTTGAACACTGGCTCTTTAATGAAACCGAGATCTTCACCGTACTCATCCCCGTACCACACGAGTAACTCTGAAGACGGAAGTATTGGCTTGTACGTTTTATAAAATATTTTCTTCTCAAATTGAAATGCAAACAAATTTTGCCTCTCTTCACGATCTGCACAATTCACAAAACGAAGCCAGTTGGCGACATCTTTTTCTACAGCTTCAACATAATGGTGCACTTTCTTTCCATTCCATATCTGAAAGAAGATTAGTTAACTTACTGAACTCTTAAAAGCAAAGTGTATTATTCATTCTAGCCATTTAATTTTATCATAAGTGAATACCTTCCAAGCATATCCGCTTTTTTCAGCTTCTTTGTGATCTTTAAGAATACTGCCTTTGTAAGGTCCAAAAACTAATCCTTTTGGAAGAAACACTTCTGTCCATACCCCGAAGCCTGCATCTGGCATGCTCGATTTCCCAATCGACAAAATAGCCGGAAGAGTTTTTATTGCCCGATCTTGAGTCTTTTTAGGTATCTTTGTAAAGTAATTCAAATAATTACATTAAAAGGTAAAAGTCTAATATAATTATATATAACACAAAATAAATATATTAAAACTAACCGCTTTAAATAGATGAAAAACCAATTCACGAAGCAAATCTAAAATTTAAGTTAATGTTAATTGCAATATTTAATGTAATTACCGGTAGTCGCAAGATTAAAAATTTAATTAGTAATCTAATAATTTCATTATATTGTCCTCTATACTAATAATGATGTAATTAATTTTGATGTAATGTACAAATTGCATCGAAATGGTTTCAACGAAATAGTCTCTTAATTTACTGCAAACAAGAAAACATTTATGCCATTTAAGAATAATATAAATAATGTTCGGAAAATTTCAATTTAAATAATTTTATTGTTACATTAAGAATATTTAAATTTATTTCAGATTTCCAACAAAGGATAGTGTATACTTTTTTCTATGTAAATTAACCCAAAAAACAGCGAGAATAGAGCACAAATAAAAGTACAATGGGCGTAGTTTAGTTTCTGTTCTATAACGAAAAACATTCTTTTGACGTTTTGACACAGAGGAAAGATCTTGTTTATGGAACTGAAACTGAACTACGTCCATTGTACCTTTATTTTTGCTCTATTCTCGTAGTTTTTTGTTTTAGGCATTTCAGAGATATTTTATATAAGTATAGAGAGATTTATATTTTACATGAATATCTCTGAACTTTTTGAATATCATTATATAAATACTTCATAACAAATATTTTTTAATTTCATTTATTTCACAATTATTATGCTCTAAGTAACTTGAAAAAGCAAACAATTACGAAATTTGTTTTTTCGAAAATAGCTTCATGCAAAAAATAACTTTTAATAATTATTTATTATTTGATCTTAAAAAATCGTGAATAAAAAAAGGTCTAAAAATTTTTACATTATTTTTAAGAATGTAATTTAATATCACGAAACTAAAAATTTGAGTACAATCCACCGAATAGTTTCTGATTTGTCAAACTTTCAAAATTATATCGTATACAATACTTAAAATTTGCCTTTACAAGAATTATTCGACCAATTTTGTATTTTTTCATATAAAATTTTTAGTTACAATTATGTAAAACTTAACACCTACAATTCAAATTTTTTTGACTATTATTAAACAAAATAATGAAATATAACAAATAATTATTAAAAATTATTTTTTGCAAGAAATATTCCATGGACAAAAGAATTTTACAACTGTCTGCAGAAACTTTTCAACTTACTTAAAAGCTGATCGAGATGCCTTAAAATATGGAAAAAGAAAAATCAACATTAAAGGGGTTCCAAACTTTTGACTGCTCCTTTAATCAAACTATTAGGACAATATTTTTCAGATTGCTGCTACCCCCATATCCTCATATCTTTGACGTAAGAAATTTAAATCCATGCAGGAAAAAATATGTTTCGTTTGAGAAAGTACTCTTTTGGATCTAATTTCCAGAAATTGAAATATAGTCTGCTCTTGCTAATTAGCATATATAAGGTGAGACACACGAATCAATAAGACAAAGTCCTAGAACATGAAAATCCAATCATTAAAACAAAAGTTATTCTGGGTGCTTCTCTTTCTTATGCTATATATATATTCAAAACTGAACTATTAGGACAATATTTCAATTTGCTTCAAAACTGAAAAGTTTTGAAACAAATTATAGATTAGCAAACTATAGATTAGCAAATGCATATTACGAAAGTAATAGGCATTTACTGTTCAATGAAAAAGAGCTACTTAAATATTAAGCATTTAGTTTGTATTGTTTGCATTTGTATTTGTTTGAATGAAACTTCTTATTAATTGTGTAAATCAATCTTCAAACTAAAGAAAATAACAACATTTTCGTACAATCAAAAATAATTTATTCATTAACCAGTCCCTAATATAAACATCACTTAGGGTCCCAGACTTCAGTTTTACCCTGGGTATAATGAAAGCCGTGTTGTTTTGAACATTTTTGGTGGCCTTTGTCACCCTATATGAGAAAAATAACAATAAATCTAACAATATAGAAAGAAATTAAAATTTAAATATAATCAGCGAAGAAAACCACGATACTATTTTGAGACGTGATGGCTCAAGTGATAGAGCATTCGCCTTCAAATGAGGTGAACCGGGTTCGAATCCCAGGGATGGCTGGTCGATGCAAATTCCGCATCCGGCTTGCGCCGACCACAAGGCTGACGTAAAATATCCTCAATGGAAGACGGATCACGGGTAAGAGTCCCCTTGTTATTTGGCCAATCTTGGAAGGTTTTTGTTTTGTTCCTCCCCATGTAACTCAAATGCGGGTTAGTTCCATCAAAAAGTCCTCCACGAAGGCTAATTTCTACTAAAACTTGATCCAGGAGTTCCCTTGTCTTCTGGATTGGATTTTAAATTACAAGGCTACGGAGCTGAACATCAATAAACGTAAACTCAAAATCGGGCTGACTGTTCAATTCACTGTACCATTTTAGATTATTTTTAAGTTTGTTCACTTATTTATTCGCAAAGAGTGCAGTTCAAAAATATTAGTTTTGTGATAAATGTTATTAAAACTCATGAAGAAATTATCTTAAATATAAGTGAAGTTTTATAAACTCGCATTAAAAACTCGCATAACAATAATGTATGTAATCAAAATTTCACTACTAATGACACAAAAATTAACTATCAAATTCAAAACTATGTTGCTAAAAGCAGCATCCAAAATTTACTCAGAAAAAGTTACCTTACTTCACCCAGTGATACAAGAAATCTGAGATGTATTGAACATTTATTATGAATAATATAGTAGTACTATCATTTGATAATGCTTAAACAAAAATTATGTAAATATCATTTACTTTCTTATCACAAATCCACAGCATGGGCCCATGAATGGGACATATTCCTTCATAATCTTTATCACAATCATCACAATCTTACCAAGAAAATAAAAAATATCATTAAAAAGCGTAAGGAAATTTTTAATTTTGCATCCGACATTATAAAATTTTTTTAAAGGCAAAAACATTAAAATTTAAAAAATTAACAAGAACAAAATTTTAATTTTAAAATATTGATGTTTTCCTAACATTAACTTCATTTTTTTTTACTTTTTTAATAATTTTTTTTTCTTTTTTTTCTGCATTCTATTATAAATGTTGAAAAATTAATTGAATTAGAAAAATAAGTTAATTCTTTCAAAAATTTACATTCTTGTTTATAAAAGAAAATTTTCTGAAACGATAAAGTAAATAGCAATGCAATTCAAGTTTAATAAAATATTGAAGAAAAGTAAAATACAACAGAAAACTGAATAAGAGGAATTTCTTAATAGCTTTCCTAAAACCAAAATATGTTAAGACTAAAGAACCTACTACAAAATATGACGCTAAGCCATTATACACCATTTGTCAGGCTTCATAAAAATTTACTTAGTAACCGCAAAACTTATTTAAATTAACAAAAAAATATATCACTTAACATTATTTATAAAAAAACATGTATAAATACTGAGTCTAAACAAATTCATGAAATTCATTCTAAAAAAATATAATTTATCCTATAAAAGTAGCATTTATTGACAATTTTATGATAAACTTGAGATAAAGCAATTTCTGGGATTATCTGAACTTTTTAAAAATTAATAAGAATATTGATCACTCTTTATAGAGTTACTTCATTATTTCAATGAATGCATTTTCAATAACTTATTTTATTACCTTTCATTATACATCATTTTAATTATTTTTACACAAAAGTTGAATTTTAATCTATTTTAAATCATACAAATGAAAAGTAGAAAATCAGATTTTTAACTTATTTTAAATAAAAATATAATTGTGTTAGATATTTTAAAACATTTAGTTATGCATTTTGACTAAAAAAACGTAATATTTTTTCATAAAAGTGCTAAAACAAAAAATAAAATCTTGAAACCTTTTAAAGAATGAATGCTCTGATTTAATATATTTTTTAAAAAAATACATAATTTAACAAGTGCTAATTAATTAAATTTTAATAAAATTTAATAAAAACAATTACGCAATAGGTCATCTTCACTTGCGACATAATCCTCATCGTAACGTTTCCTCTTAAGATTTCTCTCTGGATATTTTTTTTGTTCCAAATTCCCTAAATAAATAGATTTGAAAAACATATTATTGCGTGCTAAGAAAACAAGCATTTAGTAATGTTACTTGAGAAAAGCAAAAAATAATGAAAGCTTTGGAAAATAATTAGTTAAAACCAAATATTAAATTACAAATAAAAATATATGAAATCAAACTGCTTCTTATATACAACAAGATTTTAATAATCGTTACAATAAAAATATATAAATAATAAAAATTGTAATTAATATTCAGGCCTTAAACTTCATCAGCTTTATTGAGATACACCGTAAAAATGACTGTAAATCCTACAAAAAAAAATACTTAAAAATACTTGATTCAAGATAAAAACTGATTTTTTCGTTTTTAATCGTTTCCTGCGCTTTGTAAAAAAACTCCAGTTTCTTTTTTTTTTAATTTTTTTTGTTTTACGTATTTTTTTTCCTATATTTATACCTAAACCATAAACGCATTAAAACTGTCAAATCAAATTCTAGTTTTTGCTATGTGATTTTACTTATCGTAACATAACTTTATATTTTTAAATCCTTTCACGATTATTTTCGAAACTTTCTTTTACTTTTCAGAAATTATTTTGCTGTTCTGAACATCGTATAAGTAAAATTGAGATTCGTGTTGAGATTCACATAATGATTCACATAAGATTCAAATTGATACTGTATCTGATTATTTTTTGTCTTTAAATATTATTTTTCAGTAAATTAAATTGCCAGACATTTTAATAAGGGCGTGAAACTATAGTTTTAAACTTTGTCACACTTAAATATGAGTTCAATAAGTAAGACTTTAAGATAAAGACAGTTTAAGACATCTCCTCATAACCAAAAATTAGAGCTGTCATGACTCAGGAGATGGCGCTCTCACCTCCGTTTTGGTAAAAAATAAAAATAAAAATAAAAAAGGAAACAGTAGGTCCTTATCTGTTTAAAAAACAGGCGTCCGTTTTTAAATAGCAGTATAACATATAACAGTACAACTGTGATAAATGTTTTTATACAGGTACTTCAACTGACAGGGTTTTTTTTCTGGAAACTTAACAGATTTTTTATCGTGTGCTTTAATACATTATGCAGAAAATTGTTTTTCTTTTTACTTAATAAAAATATTTTTACTTACAAATAAGTCGATATTTGCAAAATGTTTTTAACTATAAATTTTTGAATTTCAAAGCTATGTAATCTATATTATATAATCTATAAAATCTACTATATCTATATAATCTACAAAATCTACTATATCTGTATAATCAATACTTTTATACCATCAAATTATAAAAAGGAATAAAATTAAAAGTTCAAAAACAGCAAAAATAAAGATTCAGGGATATTAATTTTTTTACAATATATTTTATTCAATTTGGTCCGCTCCTGTGTATTTCTGGAAAATGTTATCTTTAGCTTTATTGCTCTGCAGCACAAGTACATCTTATATTCCTTTGAATACAGTTATAAAATAGTAACAAGCAGAATATATGTTGTTACAGCATATTAATTTACTAATTTAAACTTACAAGCACGTGATGACGAACATTTATTATTTTTAATAATTTTAAATAAAGCTTAGAATGATATGTAGTAAAAGTTGTGCTCAAATCGCTATTAAAATTTCTAATTAAAGCAGATCTTCCTTTTTTGCCACGTAAAATATGCTATGCAATTAAAATAATTTCAAAAACAGCTTACAAAAGATAATAAATGAAAATATAATTTGAAAAACCTACTATATTTTTCTCCAAAATCTTCTAGTTCAACATTTACTCCTTCTGATAATAACATGTTACTCAAGTTAATATCATGCTCATTAGCTTTGCATATAAGTCCTTTGATAGCTTGTTTCTTGTCCGTAAAATTTCTCCTTTTCTGCAAGATACATAAGAAACGAATTACAATTACATTATTAGTGTCACAATCATGAACGATTATTGATCAAAAATCCTATTATGTCCAAAAATTCCTTTTAAGGCTCATTTAATTTTAAAAATTATCTTAGATTCGGAAAAAATATTAAATGCGTGGTTAAAATTAATATATTCCGATCTGTCAAAATGTAAACAATGCTGTCCATATTAGTAAAACTAGAACCGTAGAGCTCAGTTACCTTATGGATATTTAAGCAAATTTATCGGAGTATTTATATTTAAAAAATAAACTAGTCTTGCTGCAAATTTTAATAGAAAAAATATGTGAAATTAGTGAGTGCGATTAACAAAATTAATTACAAAAATATTTAATCGTTGAGCAACATAAAAATTTATCAAGCATATTGGTTTAAGGTCTGGTTTCTTAGGACAAGCGCCTTATCTGAGCGTCAGCGGGACGTCAACGTCCCGCTGACGCCAACAAAATACTGGTTTGTTNATTGATCAAAAATCCTATTATGTCCAAAAATTCCTTTTAAGGCTCATTTAATTTTAAAAATTATCTTAGATTCGTAAAAAATATTAAATGCGTGGTTAAAATTAATATATTCCGATCTGTCAAAATGTAAGCAATGCTGTCCATATTAGTAAAACTAGAACCGTAGAGCTCAGTTACCTCATGGATATTTAAGCAAATTTATCGGAGTATTTATATTTAAAAAATAAACTAGTCCTGCTGCAAATTTTAATAGAAAAAATATGAGAAATTAGTGAGTGCGATTAACAAAATTAATTACAAAAATATTTAATCGTTGAGCAGCATAAAAATTTATCAAGCATATTGGTTAAGACATAAAAAATGCAGGTACATTTGCCATTTTTTCAATACCTCTGTCACATTTTCGTATGAAAATATAACTATATTTAAGGTAAGTCTGGGAGAGATGACCATGCCTTCTTCAAAATGAAAAAGAAAGTTTTTAGAATAAAGATACAAGCAATCTCATACATGTAATCAACATGATTTAAGCAAAAATTAATGGTACATTGAAAACAGATATTATAAAATTGTTTAAATTTAAACTAACCAGTGGCCATCTTTCCTTAATATAATGGTGAGGTGGACATCCAATACAGTGAAAGAAAAGTGAATACAGAAAATAATATTTCATGTAGTTAACACTTACAATAAGCTATAAAAAGTGAATTTTATCTTGGACAATAAGTAAAAAGAATCTTAACAAAATCTAATGTACAGATTTAATCAATCACTTATGAAAAAATTCTCTCCCATTTTTGGCAAAGGTTTTCAAAGTTTGAACATATTTCATAGAGCAATTTCATGCACCTTACACACCTCATTCAGTCACCATTTTCAGTTGTGGTATTGCATACGTCTCCACAGATAACACTTTGATATTGATCAAATTCTAAATATGTAGCATCGGATAATATGTAAGGTTCTATCAAGCCGGGCTTATAGAGTTTTGTCGGAAAATATGTTAGTCTGTAGAATATAATTATAATATGTAGGGTTTATACGGTTCACAAAAAGTGTTAAAAAATGATTTCAATATTGAAAGCTTTCATCTAAAAAATAGGAAGCGAAAGCCATTTACGGACCAAAAGATTTCGTAACTAGAATTATTTATTTGGAGATAATAAGCGTGGTGATGAAGACTTATTTACTGAAATAATTCTTAATTTCTTGCTTTATATACCTATTTCTAATTTTTTAAGGATCCTACCTTGTAAAACATTTTGGATCAAATTACGGTATAAAGTATCGGAACTTTGAATGCATCATTCATAATTTATTTTTCCCGCAAAACCCCATTTAACAGTAGAGTCCATTTTTACCGTAGAATATTGTACCGTAATATTTATTTCATTAGCATGATTCAAAGATTTTTACTGTATTCATTACTGTAAAAATTACGATATATCAAATTTTTTGGTCCGTAACGCGTTTCGATAAAAATGAAGTTGATAGTAAAATAATCTGAAAAATAACTTGTTATGGCACCCTGAGTTCCGGAATTTTTCACCCTACTTTAATCCGGAATTTCTTACAGCGTGTGATCCTTGATAAGCCAATATACATTAATGAAAACTGATCATGTCTCCTCTTTTTATGTGGCTATTTCTTTCGAAGTTGATGATAAGATGGCCATGAAATTTATCGCATCCCTCAACTATATTCCTCTGCTTTCAACTCGGGATCAACAGTGATCGAACTATATACATGCTTCAAAAGGTCCAGCTAGTTGTAAAAAGTATAACCTACGCATTCAAAAACAACAGAATACTTAATTCACGAAAATTATCTGCACTCACATGCATTGCAGCAGTAGATAAAGGGTGTCCGAGAAAATCAGAAAACATTACTATCATCAGCTTAAGGCAGAAACGGAGCGATTTATCTGATGCGCAAATTATTCAAATGTGATGATACTTGAAATATTAGACAATAAAAAAAATTCATAAAGACATAGCCTGAAACAAGGTTTTGGTACTGTTATTAAACTGAATTTTTGTAAATACTAGGATTAAAACTAACTTTAAGAAAAGAAAAGTTAACTTAATGTTTTAACCTCCATAACTTACATAGTTCTTTAAGAATTGATCAATTATCAATTCAGGATATTTTTCACGAAGTAAATCTAAAACAAACAAAAAACTAATTAAACACTTCTTATGGTTACAAATTAAAAATTACAAAGCTCATTTATTAAGACCCTAGATTTTAAAACATAATTCTATGATCTACGAAAACAAAGAAAGCGAATTACTACGAAATCATTTTCCAAACTCGTTTAAACGACTTTTAATGGAAAATAGTTAAATAACTTCCTTAATAAGTCAAATCTCAAATATATCAAATTGAAACTTGATATAAGGGTCTGAATTTATTTCAATTTGATAATCGGGAAAATAAAAATTAATCATACTTAGCAAATCTATAAGTAAATACTCAGCAATCTATGAATTCATTTACTTTTTAATGAGCCTTGCTTCTTAATTTGGCTGCAACTATATGAGAAGAATAGTATTTTCTCTTAATCTAAGACTTAAAAGTTTGATTTTATTAGCTTTTTAATAGAAAGGAAGCTTTGGCATTCTAACATTTTATTTAATAATATACTTATAAATACTACACTTATATTTAATCATTTTTACGAATTTCCTGCGATTTAATGTAAATTTTATAAACAGACGTTTATAATTCGTGCTTATATTATAATATTACGTGCATTTTTATAATTTAAAAATATTTTTGAGTTAAATAATTATATATTATTTATTCTTATAAACATAAATAATTTTTAGATGTTGCGATAGTAATCTATAACGATTATGAGTATTTGTTTGAAACTAATACCACAGCCATAAATTGCAGTAAACTATAAAAAGTAAAAGAAGAAAAACCTAACATTATACTCTTTTAATCAGATATTTAAGAAAAGCAAAATGAAACATCTTATACAATTTTTTAAATTTCAAGAAAATCTCTACATTTAAAAAAAATAAATAGCAATAAAAACATCTTATAAGTTTATGCTTTCAATTTCTTATAACAATCACAATATAAATAAATGTTTAAAATGTACCTTCCAGGTTATCCAGTTTCGCCTGATCGCTATGTTTTTCGCAGCCAAACAGTCTTATCCTGGTGAAATTGAAGGCCGTGTCTAAGAAAATATTTTCGTATAATTATTAAAATTAAACTTTAGCAATTTTAAATAAACTATTAAAAGCACAAAAATAAATTATTACTTAGTCACCGTAACTATAAAAACAGTTCATTATGAAAATAAATCTTTCAGATTCTTATACCTAGTTATAATTTAATAGATTCCTATAGCTAACTTTAGGTATTACTAAGCCTTTTAAATTAATAAACAAATCAATAATTTAAAAAAATTATCAAATTTTAAATTCAATACTCAAAGAATTCTAAGAGACTAAACAAATCTTTAAAAAAACATTTTATGGCATGTTCTATAATTCAAAGTGATTTCAGTCTTCAAAGAAAATATTTTGGTAAGAACTAACAAGGTTAATGTACGTCTGAAAAATTTGCATTGAAACTAAATTAAGATTAAATTACAGAGCATGGTTGAAAACCTTGAATAATGTTGAAATTTGCTTATACTATTAATTCATTTACTTTCCTGTTCCCGTGGATTTGTGTCATAACTGTTAATCTATCCGCTCTTTAACTAAGAAATTGAGGCTTCAAATTCCTCCTTTGACATTTGATTTATAATTCTAGAAATCTGATCTAAAAAGATAGATAACTAGTGTGGATTTTAAGCAGTTTATAAAATATTGTTTTTTTAATTTAAATTGTTTCTTTTATAACATTTTAATTTTAAATATTAAAGAAAATTGATAGATGTCTTATTATTTTTATTAATTAAAATAAATATATTTTAAAAAACTGTAATTTAAATCGATTTAATTTACTAACTAATTTTTTTTTACTTTGCAGTATTTTTTTTGGTTTTAATTTATTCATGAAAATGTAAGCAAAATTACATCGTAGTTCTAGTAAAAAAAATATTTATTATCAACAAAATTTTAATAATCCATGATATAATCTTCTCTTAATAGAATAAATATTTCTTTTTAATTTATTCCTTCTTTCTAGCTTTCGAACAAGAATTATAAATTAGTTTTTATTTATATTTTCAAAATTAAATTTACTAAATATGTATGGAATAAATCACACAAAATAGTTATCAAACTTTTTAGATCAAAAATGTAGAAACATCTTACTTACAAAAAATATTTATGCTGCATAACGAAAAAAAAAACAAATTCCAACATTCGCGTTCTATTCCATGATTAACATTTTGGTTTTTTTAATTATTTTCAAATTATATCCCATAGAAGTTTTTTCCTTTTAATTTTGTAAACGTTTTCAAATTTATATATTTGAATATACATCTAACGGTAAAGTTTTAAAAGCAACAGTAAAAGTATTTTTACATAAATAATCTGTCTTAAAATAAAATTACGAAAATCATCACATGTCATATGTCCCTCAAAATATAAATTTATGCTAAGTATAAGCATTTAGCGCTTTCATTATCAGGAATGAAACTTGCATCGATTGTTTTAAAATTAAATATAGTAAAAAAATATATTTTAAAAAAAATTAAAAAAACAAAAAGCTAATAAGAAACGCTGAATACAATTTATGATATTGTATAACAAACGCTGAAAAACAAACACTAATAACAATTTATTGACAATCTTAATAAACATTCTAATATAATTTTTAAAACATGTTGTTAATCGCATTTTTTTTAAACTATATGTCTTTTTTTTCATTACTTGGTTGACAGCATTCGGTATTTTTAAAAGATTTTTTTCTATAGTACTGCATTATTGTTCTTTACCATCAACTTTTATTAAGAAAAGCACATATTTTAATAGTAAAAAAAATTCTTTTAATAGAGAAAATGAACTACATTAAGCAAGACATTTTATATTTTTCTAGTCAAACTAGGATATTTAAATTTTTCTTTGTGCTGGGATATTTCAAGTTTTTATTTTATTAGCTACATTCTAAAGAAACGACAATTGCATCCAACTTACCAAGAGATTTTGCAATATTACTCTGTAAGAAATGATTAAATTTCTGTTGATTCGGTCTGTAATTCTGTCTAAAATTCTTTGCTTTTTTAGCAATTTTATTTTTAGACATCGTTATTAAATGTTGACTTAAACTTATTTGCTCATGTAAATGAGGAACACTATCTTAATAAATAAAAAGAATTTAAAGATCAAAAATATCTGTATTTTTTATCTGTAAATTTCTTCCAAAAATTTATTTGTTGCCAGAAAAAATCTATGAAAATAGTCAAAAAAATATTACTAAAAATAATTATCGCTTGCTTTGTTTAAAAAAATGTAGAAGTTGACTGTTCTACTATCGATTTATATTTTAAATCAATAAATACAGTGCAAACGATTTATAACGAACTTATATCAGTGGATAATATCTTAAAGAAGTAATAATGACAGTATTAAGTAAAAAAATGGTCACTCTTGTTTTTAAAATTTAAAGATTGCGTTTGAATTTTAAATGAATAATGCAGAATGTAACAACTTTCACTAGGTAATGTAAATTGTTTTCCACTTTTTCAAGGAATATAATTTACGAGTTTTGTTAGTTTAAAAGTATATAGTTATACACTTGTGGATACACGTAAAAGTACTATAAAAAATTCTTAATTAAGATAAAAGAATGATTCTTTTCTAACTTCATATTTCAGAAAATGAAATACTGCGTAAGTGTAGGTTTTTCAATTACAGCAGACGATAATGATCGATTAACTGTAAACAAAAAATTTAGTCAAACGAAATAAATATATAGATCTCACATCATGATTCAGTGTATGCAAAGTGCGAGCAAGAAAAGGAAAATTATTATTTAAATTTAAGGAAAATTTGTTTCAGCGATTTTGGAAAAGAAGGCAAGAAGAAAATCGAAGTGAAAAAGAAACGAAAGAAAGTGAATATACAGTAAAATCTCCGTTACGCGGACATCCTTGGGACCAAAAAAACTGTCCGTTTCTGAGAATTGACCAATTACGGGAAGGGTACCCTAATAACGAAATTTAACTCTGTTAATTATTTTTAGAATATATTGAAAGATGAAGAAATAATTAAATACTTTACAATGACTATCTACAAGGATATTGATTTAAACTTTAAGAAAGATTTAAAAAAAAAAAGAATATATAAAGAAGTTTGGTATAAATGCATAATGCTAGATGTAACTACTAATAAATGAATATAATTTTCCTATTAGCATAGATACTCAAGTCAGACATATGATACTGAGTAGGAGCTTTCAGTCCTCAGTCGATTTCAATTATTAGGTTTACATCCCCTTACACCTACCTATCATTTGATGGGAAACATGGTTAATACCTTCTTGAAAGTAAACCTTCATTCACGGTCATTCAAGTCACGGTCATTCGCAGTTAAGTCATAAGGACCTATGGAGTTGACTATTCACAATTGACCAGCTGTCAAATGTCTTAACAAGTGTTTCATTTATATGAACACGTCAAAGATTATATTCCTGTTCTCTTTTTTACCCCAGCTGTGTTAAATACAGTCTTCAAATTGATAGGAAAATTAAAGAAATTTTCAATGGGGAAGAAGCATTGAGAACATTTAAGATGTCATTTCGACTTGAGGTGTCTCAAAACCTGTGTGGTCCAGATGAAAAGACCAAAAGATGCAGCTATCCAAATTATTTCAGGAGAATTGTCTCATTGTCTCTCCTTTCCTTACAAGGATAAGGCAAGGTGACAGGGATTCTTCGGAAAAAAAATAGCTTAACAATATTTTTAGTTATGGATTTTTAGTTATGGTGCCTGCTTTGCTGAGAATGTACATAATGATTTATTCAGAGAAGATTCAAGGGGAATTTAAAATGTGTCAGTATTGAGATGCGTCCGTTTTGCAGGAGTGTCCATAACAGGAAGTTTTCACCTTATTTAGCGTATTTCAGAAAGAAGAAATGAATAAAAAATCTTGCTTATTTAAAGAGCTTTCTACTTACAGTAGTGAATTAAAGAATCGGAATGGTAAGCCAGTTTGGAATTTTCATCAAAAGAAATACACTCATATTTCGCGCGTAGGGCACTAGAAAGAGATTTATTCGGCTATGGTTTCTAGAAGCTCGCCACCTTGTCATTGCTGAATAATAATACATATCTTTGATAGAACCACATCAAAAATTAGAATTATTTCTGATTTTCTGATGCTTATAAATATATAGCTACTCATCACTAAGTAACAGCAAATGAAATTCAAATTCTATATTCTTCTTTTTTATTATCAAGCAAGGATTATTCGAAAATATTTCATTAAATTCAAGAACCCTTTAATATTAAAAATTATTAGTTTTTTACTGATTTTTGCTGCAATTTAAAAACAAGTTTAATACTTCAAAAAAGTAATAAAAATTATCTGTGCCATTTAGTAAAACTAATTTTAAATCACCCTAATTTTGATCTTAAGAAAACAGAAAAATGTGTCATATCAGTCACTGCAGATTTAGAAGTAAAAATATTTAAAAAAACAAAATGACAAAAGAAAAGTAGTCTTTGAAAATATACCTGCTAAACTAATTCAGATCACGAAACTGTGATGGCTCTTTTTTATCGAAAAGAAGTCAAAAAGTTTTTTTTTATTCAGAGTTGGTGACAAAGAATACGATATTTGGGACTTTGTCAGCAGGAACAGAAGTAGCTTCATTTTCAATTCTNCTTCATATTTCAGAAAATGAAATACTGCGTAAGTGTAGGTTTTTCAATTACAGCAGACGATAATGATCGATTAACTGTAAACAAAAAATTTAGTCAAACGAAATAAATATATAGATCTCACATCATAATTTAGTGTGTGCAAAGTGCGAGCAAGGCGATATAAGGAAAGTTTGTTTCAGTTATTTTGGAAAAGAGGGCAAAAAAATCGAAGTGAAAAAGAAACAAAAGAAAGTGAGTATACAGTAAAATCTCCATTAAGCGGACATCCTTGGGACCGAAAAAACTGTCCGTTTATGAGAGTTGTCCGCTTACGGGAAGGGTACCCTAATAACGAAGTTTAACGCTGTTAATTGTTTTTAGAATGTATTGAAAGATGAAGAAATAATTAAATAATCTACAATAACTATCTACAAGGATATTTATTTAAACTTTAAGAAAGATGAAAAAAGAATACATAAAGAAGTTTGATATAAATGCATAATTCTCGATGTAACTACTGATAAATGAATATAATTTTCCTATTAGCATAGATACTCAAGTCAGACATATGATACTGAATAGAAGCTTTCAATTCTCCGACGGTTTCAATTATTAGGTTTACATCCCCTTACACCTACCTATCATTTGATAGGGAACATGTCTAATACCTTCTAGAAAGTAAACCTTCCACGATTCACAGTCATTCGCAGTTAAGTCATAAGGACCTATGGAGTTGATTATTCACAATTGACCAACTGTCTAGTGCCTTAAGAAGTGTTTCATTTATATGAACACGCCAAAGATTATATTTCTGTTCTCTTTTTTACCCCAGCTGTGTTAAATACAGTCTTCAAATTGATAGGAAAATTAAAGAAATTTTCAATGGGGATGGAGCATTGAGAGCATTTAAGATGTCATTTCAACTTGAGGGGTCTCAAAACCTGTGTGGTCCAGAGGAAAAGATCAAAAGATGCAGCTGTTCGAATTATATCAGGAGAACTGTCTCATTTTCTCTCTTTTCTTTACAGGGATAAGGTAAGGTGACAGTGATTCTTCAGTAGTGAAATAGCTTAACAATATTTTTAGTTATGGATAAGGCAAAAAATTTATATTCTTTAAAAATGGTGGAAAATTGCATTTATTTTTCTTGCAATTTAAAGCAAAAATTGTTTTTTTCTTTTTTTTTCAAATTTAGAAAGTAGTGTTTAAAGAGATAGAAAATAACGTTTCAGATCCAAAATGACTGTCCGCGTCCGGTCACGGAAGTGTCTGCTTTGCTGAGCATGTACATAATGATTTATTCATAGAAGATTCCCGGGGAATTAAAAATTCGTCCGTATTGAGAGGCGTCCGCTTTGCAGGAGTGTCCATAACAGAGAGTTTTCACCTTATTTAGCGTATTTCAGAAAGAAAAATGAATAAAAAGCCTGATTTATTTAAAGAGCTTTCTATTGTAGTGAATTAAAGAATCGGAATGGTAAGCCAGTTTGGAATTCTTATCAAAAGAAATACACTCATATTTCGAGCGCGATTAATTGGTTAAGGTTTCTCGAAACTCACCACCTTGTCATTGTTGAATAATAATACCTATCTTTGATAGAACCACATCAAAAATTAGTATTATTTCTGATTTTCTGATGATTATAAATATATAGCTACTTATCACTAAGTAACAGCAAATGAAATTCAAATTCTATATTCGTTTTTTTTTATTATCAAGCAAGGATTATTCGAAAATATTTCATTAAATTCCAGAACCCTTTAATATTAAAACTTATTAGTTTTTTACTGATTTGTGATACAATTTAAAAGCAAGTTTAATACTTCAAAAAAAGCATTAAGAATTATTTGTGCCATTTAGTGAAATTAATTTTAAATCACCCTAATTTTGATCTTAAGAAAACAGAAAAATGCGTCATATCAGTCACTGCAGATTTAGAAGTAAAAATATTTGAAAAAACAAAATGACAAAAGAAAAGTAGTCTTTGAAAATGTACCTGCTAAACTAATTCAGATCACGAAACTGTGATGGCTCTTTTTTATCGAAAAGAAGTCAAAAAGTTTTTTTTTATTCAGAGTTGGTGACAAAGAATACGATATTTGGGACTTTGTCAGCAGGAACAGAAGTAGCTTCATTTTCAATTCTGCCAATGGAACCGTAAAATAATCCTTTGCTTTGAAAATAAAGGGTCATATTTGACACTTCCATAGGACATTAGTGTCAAAATGCATTAAAAAATATCGGTAATAAATCTTTTAAATAATTAGTAGCTAAATTATTCTAGTAAATATGTTTGTGAACTTCAATTACCTTTCTTTAAATCAAGAATGGTGTTTCTTAACAAGTTCTAGTATTTTTTTCAACATCATTATGTTCAATAATTTTGCTCAGTACATGGGAGCTATTTTAACTCTTGACAATTAAATTTAAATACAGCAG